GATCGTTTTTGCCTATCTAATAGTTTTATCAGTTTCGATCCATCGCCATGGATGGAGACGCAAGATTATAGAGATGCATTTGAATTCTGTGCCAGACTTTATATGATAAATGATTGAAAGAGGAATTAGGCTTATGATGGATTATAATTCGATTTTGACAAAATATGAAGAGGAAAAACAATATGTTCTGCAAGTAGTCGAACATTATCATAAAAATTATCCTTCACATAGTCAGATTTATGTCATAAAACATAATAAACACAATGTATTAATTACTGAAAAAAAAAGTTTTATTGAAATTATAATTTTTTATAAATAATTAACTAAATCGTAGCATATACCTATTACGTAATTGTGCATGCCATCTAAAAGGTATGAAATAGAAAACGGAGCACAGTCGCTCAACTAATTATTGTGTTTTGCGCATAGTTTTTAACCGATTTTGCTCATTCTTATCTTATTAAAAAGATATTTTAATTATCTATCAAATGAGTATTTATTAATAAGTGTTGAAACAAGTAACAAAGATAAAAAATGACCTTGAATTGAAAAATTACTGTTTTTTGTCCTGAAAACCCAACTTTACTCGAGTGGCGCAACGTCATTTTTAATCCTATTGCTCCAAAACTTTGGGAATATCATTTTTTTGGTCAATGGCATATTCCTAGGGGGTGCGCTCATTAAAAATCGCATTTTAGTTTTTCTGAGCCACCCTATTGTGCCACATTCAAAACCACGAGCTCAAATAGTGGACATTGCATATGTTAAGTATTACATTTATTTTGTCTTTTGCTGACCCATGATAAAATGCATTTAACGTAATCGTAATATATTAATAGGTTATATTTTTGCTGATTAGTGTTTATTTTATAACTAGGGCAAGAACACATTTTAAATAATTAATTATTTATTGTTTTGCTGAATATTTTATGTGTCATTATAAGTAATATTTTTTGCTTGATATTAATTGGGTCAGTAAATTATTGTACGTAATAAGTTTTAGTAAGTAATTATTATAAGAAAAAATGTATATAAACAAATCAATTCTTTTAATAAAGCGTATTCGATGATACAAATTTGAATAGAACTTATCTTCTTTTCATAAAATTACCAACGGATTTATGTGCTCGGTGGTATCTTCAAGAATATAAAAAGTATACAAATATACCGTCCAACAAGTTACATGTGCTTGGTGGAATTCCGGTATACAAATACAAATTGATAGAACCTTGAGAATAAAAGCATTCTCAACATATTTTGGTGACCCCGACGTGATATTCCTATAAGGACAATAAATAGGAACGGCATTATCATGGAGCATTTCAACACACTTATTGATCAACAACAAGCTATAGGAGCTGAGATCGAGAGGATAATCAGCAACTTCAAGAAGGATCCAGCCTCAAGGAAGACGAATCGCTATTATCAGGATAGAATTCTACGGTTAACTGAACAATGGTCAAGGTTAGAGAAGAACCACAACACGTTATTATCTTGTAAAGCTATGGCTGAAGATACAGAAGACGAGTATTTCACCACGGGCTACTATGAAAAAATGACTGAATTGACAAACAAATACTTGGGTATTTTTAACAAGGCATTAATCGAAATGCAAGAGGTAGAAAATGCTCAGGAAAAGCCGCCAAGGCAACACAATCAAAATCCAATGCAGCTTCAACAAAATGAAGAATTATCAAGAGTGTTGCGTAATCAACGAGCACTCATAAATGTCATTGACAGATCCAGTCAAGAAATTGAAATGGCAAGCCAAGAATCTCAAAATGAAGTTTTTTATTCTTGCAAGCTTGCTTTGATAGAAGGTTATCACAAAGCATTTGATAACAACAATGAAAAAATATGGAATTCTACATCAGAAGAATTCATTGAAGGGTACTCCTGGGAATTGTATTATGAAATTAGTCAAAAACTCCAAGACATGGAGATTTGTTTGAAACTCAAGCTAAAATCATTCAATTCTCACTACCAGCACGATTCAACAATTCAGGCAGTAAAATTACCACAGTTAACAATTCCAATATTTGACGGAAACCAGCTGAAGTGGGTAGAGTTTCGAGACCTGTTTACACAACTTATAGACGAACAACCATTCAAACCTATCCAAAAGATGTTCTACTTAACAACTAACTTGATTGGTGAGCCCAAAAACCTGATAAAGCATTTGCCAGCATCAGCTGAGAACTACATTACCGCATGGGAGATTCTGAAGGCTAGATACAATAATGGTAGATTATTAGTTACCGCATTGTTAAACAAATTATTCGCATTACCAGCAATGACAACTGAAACCGCTTCTGGCCTTAAAACATTGCATGACATTTCACAAGAGTGTTTATTGGGACTTAAGGCGCAGAACATTCCAGTCGAACATTGGGACGTCATAATTGTTCATATGACGTTGAAGAAATTAGACAAGATCACACAAACAGCATTTGAGCAGTCATTATCAAACAATCGAGAGCTGATCACTATGAAGGAACTATTTCAATTTATTGAACAAAGGTTCCAATCGCTAGAAACAATAAATAATAGCGCATCAATTAAAAAATGGGTTAAGACAGTGGCTACAACTAACACTGCACCAGTTAAATGTCCAATATGCAAGAGAGATAATCATCCAATTCATCTATGCAAGCAGTTCCTGGATGACACCCCAGCTAAGAGGCTACATCTCATAAAATCATTGCAACGATGTTTCAATTGTCTAAAAAATGGTCACTTCACAAAAGACTGCACATCAGGCAGTTGCTTAAAATGCAGCAAGAAACACAACACCTTGCTGCATTTAGAAGGCACACTTGAAGCATCCATGATTAAGAAGGCATCATTATCAAAAAATCCTGCTTCTCTGTTCTCCAACAATCTCAACATCCAAAAAAATTATGTGGTATTAGGAACTGCACGTGTTGTCGTTAAAGGCAACAATGGAAGAGAAATTGAGTGCAGAGCATTATTGGATTCCGGCTCCCAAGTCAACCTGATAACCGATCAAATAATTAAGAAGTTAGGTGAAAACCCGAAAAAGACCTCAGCATGTATAGAAGGTGTGGGGCAAAAAAAACAAGATGCGCAACAACGAATCAATTTAGCTTTCTCGTCCAGAATTAACGGATTTAGCAGCCGAATAGAGGCTTATGTATTACCTAAGATTGTGTGTGATCAGCCGAGCATTCATATTGAAAGCTCAAGCTGGAAAATACCACAGAACATCAATCTGGCAGATCCGTCGTTCAATACCCCAAACAAAATCGATCTCCTACTTGGAGCTGAGTTTTCTCATCAACTATTGTCCATCGGCCAAATAAACCTTGGCAGAGGTCTCCCCATCCTACAGAACACATTGCTTGGGTGGCTTGTGGTGGGAAAAATATCTAACCAAAATTCAATTATTTCACCACAAGTTTGTGGAATATGCTCTGAAGATGAGCAAGATACGATGAAGGTTATCGAGCGGTTCTGGCAACTAGATGAACCAGAAAAGGCAAACAAAAATCTGTCTCCTTCCGAAGAGTTGTGCGAGTCTCATTTTGCAACTTATATGAAAAGGAATCAAGACGGTCGATTCAGTGTCAGATTACCCTTCAAGCAAGATCCATCGTTGCTTGGTGAGTCAAAACACATTGCCATTAACAGGTTTTTAGCGTTGGAAAGAAGACTCGATAAGGATGTAATACTCAAAACACAGTATGTACAGTTCATGAATGAATATGCTGATCTCGGACACATGGAAAGGGTTGACATCAACCAAGTTAATCCTCATTATGTCATCCCACATCATGGCGTTTTACGGCCCGATAGCAGCACCACGAAATTAAGAGTGGTATTTGATGCATCGTGCAAGACGAGTAGTGGACTATCGTTAAATGATACAATGTTTACTGGCCCTACAATTCAAGAGGAATTGTTTGCGATTTTACTTCGATTCAGGTGCCCAAGATTTGTCTTTTGTTCTGACATTCAAAAAATGTACAGACAAATTATTATTCAGCCCGAAGATCAAAGATATCAATTAATAGTCTGGAGAAGCAATAATAACGAACCCTTACAATTTTATCGATTAAAAACAGTCACCTATGGAACACGATCAGCCCCATATCTGGCTACTAAATGCTTACAACAGTTGGCGAAATCTGAGTTGCAAAAATATCCACTAGGTGCAGCAGCACTAAGTAATGACTTCTACGTAGATGATTGCCTAAGTGGATCAAATAGTCTCCAAACTGCCAAAGATATACAAACTCAGTTAAAAGGTTTGTTGGAATCAGCAGGATTCAAGCTACGTAAATGGTGTGCCAACCATCCGTCACTTCTTCAAAATATTGCAAAAGAAGATCAAGAAGTTGATTTGGACTTTCAAAGTGACGACGCAACATCAATCAAAACATTAGGATTGACTTGGCAACCAAAAGAAGATCAATTTCGCATAAAATTAAAATTGGATCCACTAAAAATCATTACTAAAAGAACCATTACTTCGAACCTAGCCAAAATTTTCGACCCATTGGGACTACTAGGTCCAGTACTCGTAACAGCAAAAATACTAATTCAGGACCTATGGCAACTACAATTAACATGGGACGAAGCAGTACCAACCGAAATATACACTAGGTGGACTACCTTTTATGACGATCTACAAGTACTAGATCAATTTAAAATAGATCGTCATATATTCGGAAAACAGATGCCAGCACTTGAATCAATACAATTGCACGTATTTTGTGATGCTTCACAAAAGGCATACGGAGCCGCAGTCTATGTTCGAGCGAAACTAATGGATGGTCGACTAATAAATCGATTGTTGTGTTCCAAGTCTCGTGTTGCTCCACTCAAAAAACAAACGATTCCAAGGTTAGAACTGTGTTCAGCTCTATTAGGAGCGACATTGATGAAAAAGGTTAAGAACAATATAAATCAT